GTTGATATAAGCGTGCAGGAGGCGTCGCTAGGGCAGTGCGCGCGTGGCCACACTGGTAGAGGGTAGCGACCGTGCCCACACACTCAGTCCCCTCACGCGGCCGTCACCACTCGCACGTGGACTCCACCACCGCATAACCTCGCTGGCTCGTTCGCTCGGTGCCTCGTCCCGTCGCAGTCCCCGGCGAAGCAGACCCAGACCTCAGCACCTCCCAGGCCAGAGACGAGTCTAGAAGCCCTCGCTGGTCTCCCTCAGCATCCCGACACGATGGAGAAGTCTCCGATGTACGCCGTCCTCACGCCCCCGGGGGAGGGCAGGCGGCAGTGGCTGGCGTGGATGGCAGCCTTCGTGAGCCTGCTGGCCCTGGTCGTGTCCGTCGTGACCGCCTGCGTGGCCGTGCAGCAGCTCGACCGAGTCACGGAGGTCGAGCAGAAGATGATCGAGATGAAGATGCACTTCGAGCGGCTCCTCAATGAGTACGACTACGACATCTACGACTACGACGACCCTAAGGATGTGCCCGAGTGCTTTTCCTCGTAGTCGTCCCGCGAACAAGTTGGCGCCGCGAAGCAGATCTTGCATGTGTGTCCTGTGAATTTTTATATATATTATTCTTGGGGGGGGGGGCGATCTAAGTGATTGGTTTTATTCTTCTTTTTAATATCTACGTGAAAACATGAAAAATTATAATATTCGAAAGAGGGGAAATTTTGCTTCACAGAAAATGAGAAAGCTCCACGAATGAAAGGCGATTCGTGAGTGAGGAAAATTGTGCAAATGATTGCTTGTTGCCGAAACACCTTTGGGGGAAAATGGTCATGCTCTAAATGCTGAGAAGCATGTGCTGTTAGTGAAAGTAATTTTACCAACATATGATTAAAATGTAATTTACAAATATACGTATATAAAGTATATATATAACGGCAGAAAAATAAATGTATAGACAGATGGATAGACATAGAGAGAGAGAGAGAGAGAGAGAGAGAGAGAGAGAGAGAGAGAGAGAGAGAGAGAGAGAGAGAGAGAGAGAGAGAGAGAGAGAGAGAGAGAGAGAGAGATATGAATGGATGGCAGTGCAGAGATCTCTGTACTACCATGTGTGTTTGTATGTGTTGTGTGTCTGTGTGTGAGTGCTTGTGTGTGAGTATAAGTGTGAACAAAAAAAGCGTTTACATGTGTATGTATATATACAGATATGCATGCAGTCAGATATACAGATATGTGGGCATGCGTGTTTAAGAAGTATATTATATATATATATATATATATATATATATATATATATATATATATATATATATATATATATATATATATATATATATATATATATATATATATATATATATCTTGATACACCAATATTGTTAAAGAGAAAAATATGAAACTGCTCTCACTCTCTGCCTCTCTCTCACTCTCTCAGACACACACACACTTACTCTCCTTCTCTCTGTTTACTATCACTCTCGCTGCCACTCTCACTCTCATAGTAGTCATACTTTCACTCTCACTCTTACGTTTACTCCCAGCTTCTCTCTCTCTCTCTCTCTCTCTCTCTCTCTCTCTCTCTCTCTCTCTCTCTCTCTCTTCTCTCTCTCTCCTCTCTCTCTCTCTCTCTCTCTCTTTCTTATCTATCGATCCATCCATCTATCTCGCTCTTTCCATTCCGTCTATCGTTCATATTTTTTTTAACAAAATATTTGCAGTGTTTTCTTATAGCAAAAGTATCCTTGTAAACATTGTAGTTAATTACCTGTTGAGTGAAATTTTCCTTGTCTAATCCTCAAGGTGATTTATTGATTATTTGTTTTATTTTTTATTCGCCTCTCTTCGTTGCAAGCGATTTCTCTTTGTTTGTTTGCTTTGTTTCGTCTTCTCGATTTTTTTACTGTTATTCTAATTATTATTATGATCATACTAGTACTGTTCTCATATTTTTATTGTTGTTGCTATTGTCCTTGCATCTCCCTCATCTTCACCCTCTCTTCATCTTTTCTCGTAATTTTTCTCTCCCATTCTTTTTCCTCCTCTTCTTTATCCTCTTCCTCCTTCCTCCCCTTCCTTCTTATTAAAGATTCCTCGGGCTTCCTTTAATTCCCTCCTCTTCAAGCTATTTATTGACCTCAGCTTCCCCGGTGGGGTGAATGGCGATAACGTTTGCATGTATCAGCTAAGCTTCCCTGGCTTGGTGTGGGGAATGCGGGGTGTAGTGGGGTGAGAAGTGGTGTGGTTTGTTGGGGTTCTTAGGAGTCGGGTTTGAGTAATTCATGGGTTGGGTTGGTTGGGGGTTTTATGTGTTGTAGTATGGGTTGTTGTGTGTGTTTTCTCTGTTTTTTTCTGGTAGCTTTGTTTGTGTGTTTGTTTATCTCTTTTGCTCTCTCTCTCTCTCTCTCTCTCTCTCTCTCTCTCTCTCTCTCTCTCTCTCTCTCTCTCTCTCTTCTCTCTCTCTCTCTCTCTTTATATATATATATATATATATATATATATATATATATATAAT